GCAGGCATTTATAACTCCACGCGGCCTACAAAGCCTTACGCCATTATGTGAGCAAAGGACGGAACAAGGGCAGACCGAATGTAAGAATTTCAAAAGAAAAGGACTCTACGAAGAATCAGCCAGAAGAGGAGGCAGAATCACCGGGACCCTCTGCCCTAGGGACGAGGCATTACATTAATTACTTTTTATGACACCGAAATAACGCCGACTAACCCGACAATTTTTTAGCGTATACCACTATAATTGCCGCCCCTCTTCCTTTTTGTGGTTGATATTTCTTACACCTTAACGCCCTAGTGACCGCCGACAGTTGATTGGCCTATGGCCACTAAGATTACTCTCCTCTTAATTGCTGCCCCTTATCTCTGTTAGAGTTCGAAAGCTCAGGATAATGTACCAACTGATCTGGTTCTTGAAAAGTCTTCTTCCCTATCCATTTCTTTCATCAGAGTAACTCACCTCTTCTGAATTGTATCGGATCGTGCTGGTAAGTGCAGGCAATTGCCAACCTTCTAATTCCACACTAGCAGCGTACTGCCTAAACACACGCAAATGCGGTACCCTCACAAGTGCTAGGAGCCCGGCCTAACCGATTGCCATGATGACCTTACAGGTTGTCCTGAGGCGTCGTGTTGCGGCCGACTGCATAAATGATCTATTTGCCAATGCCAGATAGGAATGTATCCTGTTCTACGAAAGTTTTGTGGTTACACAAATGATTACACGGTGTTGGAGTCTTTACATCTTTGGCAACACTGCCAGTTCTTCGCCTACAACATTGGCCTCGGAGAGCTCACCCGTTTGTCACCGCGGAAGAATGGCTGATTATCATGCAGCAACTGCAAGCCATAACAACAGGTTTACGATGATCATATCGAGCAATCAGACTATGAATGGAACCGCATGGCTCGCAAGTATTCAAAGGAACACGGTAGGTTACTGAAAGTAGGGAAATGTTAAGAGCCCAGTTTGACCGAATACCAGCATAACCTTGCAGGCTGTTCTGCGACGTCGTGCCTGCAGCCGACTGCAACGATGACTCCTTTGTCAGTGTGGACTGCCGTAAGCTTGTATGTCTTCACTGTAACTGTCCTCACGCTATGGCCTTAAGCCGCTGGATTTGATCGCACTCGCACGCGAGCCCACGTGCGTGCTCAATTAGTCGCAGTTCCCCAATGGCCACTTTTGTGCGCCAAACAGCAGGTAAGCATATTCCAAGGCACCCAATGGTGCCACAAGCGAACGCGCTAGACAATCACTCATAAGCACCTGTCACATCTCAGACAGTGAAGCGCAACGTGAACAAGACCCAATCAGTCCAGTCCCGGTCCGTACTTTGCCCCACGACTGGACATTCAGCCCTGGACAACGCCAGCGGACACAACCGCCACCGGGGATAGCAATTTCGGGTTTTGTACACAATAAACTCTCATTTGTGTGGCTTCCACTTTGTGCGAAGAAATAGCAGAACATTTGCCATCAGGCTAATCGTACAAGTGCACAAATACACCTGCGCTATCATGAAGGAATAAGCTGATGCTACTGTACAGACGTTTTTTAGCAGTCCAGCTGTTCACAACAGCGCATGAATACAGCATTGGCGTAATCAGACAACACAAGTCAGTTCTGTTCGCAAAGAGTTAGTTTGTGCAAAACGATGACTAATCACCATTTTAATAGGGACAATTTTGCCGCCTAATTTTTTGTGTGTCTCATGTTGACTCTCGACAGTATGATCTGAACCTAAGGCCCGACAAAAGTTATTTGTAAAAACAATACTAGTCGGTGTTCGTAAGTACTATTTTAATAGTGACAATTATACGCGTTCATGTACACATGTATATGAAGCACCGGAATGTTAGCAATAATGGCCTTTGACTGGCACACTCAACAGAGCCATATACCTCCACCCCGCCTACCAGGCGTTGCGCAAAATACTCTAGTCAGTTCGAAAAAGGCCAACAATGAGGCAAAATAAACTCGAGTGTGGAATAAAACCAGCTTTGGAGGTACAAAGTGGGGAAGCCGCCCAGGAACCTAATCACCGCCA